TCCTCCTGCTCCTGCTCCTGCTCCTGCTCCTCCTCCTCCTCCTCCTCCTCCTCCTCCTCCTCCTTTTGTCTCCTCCCCTTCCTCCGACTCCGTGCCTTGGGGGCCTCTTAGGGCTTCTTGGAGCCTCGTGATCCTTTTTGAGGACGTCTCTGGGCCTCCCGGTGGCCAAGCGAAAAAGCTCGAAGGCCAAAACCATTCATTTCCGTTGGCTTGTGAAGATTTAGAATTGTCTGAGGGGCTCGGGGGGGTCTCCTGGAGGTCTCCAGAGCTGTCCTGAGCGTCCCTGGAAACTTATTGGGGGTTCTTGGAGGCCTCGGGGAACGTTTGTGAGGCCTCTTGGGAGCTTTTTGGGGGCCTCTTGGAGGCCTCAAGGGGCGGAGAGCTCGAAATGTCGGTTCGTGTTCCCCCTTCTATGGTCCCTCTTGAAGCGTTCTTGGGGCCCTCTTGGGCTGCCTTTGAAACCTCTTGGACCGTCTGGGGGGACTCTTGGGCCGTCTCGGCGCCCACTTTGGGGCCTCTGAAGCCGTGTCGGGGCGATAGTTGATGCCTGCGGGGCCGTCTTGGAGCGTCGGGAAGCCGAAAAGGCAGAAACACGAAAATTCAGTTCAAAAAACTATCGGAAAATCAATGATTTCTGCCTCTCGGGGCCCTTCTGGGAGTGCTCTTGGAGACGTGCTAAAGCCTGTTTTGGGCCGTCTGGAGGTCATCTTGGGCGTGTTGGCACGATATGTCGGCGACTGTGGGCCATCTTGGAAGACTCTTTGGGGTCCTTCTCATATGTTTGGGAGCTGCTTTGGACAGCCTGGTGGCGTCCCTGGCGGCCTGGTCCCCCCATGCGCTGTCGGGGGGCCCGTCCTGCCCCCCCCCCCCCGCCTCGTGTCTCTCTCTTTTTCTCTTTCTCTCTCTCTCTCTCTATATATATATGTGTGTGTGCGCATGTATATAAAAATAAGTAGATCAAAATGTGTATATATATGGTTTACATAGTCTCTCTCTCTATATATATAGATATGTACATATATGCATACGCATATCTATACACATACATATATATCTGAATACGCCGGCGCTTGGTTTGAATCAATTGCTTGACGCTGTGGTCCGTGCTTGCTTGAGTGAGCCTGGGGGGCCAGGTCTGGAGGGTGGGGGCGCAGGGCGCCTGGGAGGCGTGCCACTTTCTCTTTCAATCTGCAGTGTCCGCCGTGTCCGCTTGGGATCCACTGGCCGCCACGGGAAACGCGCCGACACCTCAAAAGTTGCACCGACGACCAGGCAATACATTGCCAGGTTCCTGCGCGCAGGAGCATACTCAAAACTCAACTTCTTGCCCCCCTTCCGCCGCGTCCCTCCTCCTCCTCCTCGTCCGCCCTCCCTTGAGTTTCGACGGGATAGGGCTCGGCTCAGATCGGGGAGCGGTGCCTGTCTGCGCGACGTCCAACTCGGTCCTGCCTCCTGCCCTCCCTCCCTCCCTCCCCCCCCCCCCCCCGGGCCTGCTCCCCCCCATCCCCATCTCCTCGATCCCTCCCCCCTCCTCCTGCCTCCTTCCTCGTTCAACACTCCACTTCCCAGCATCTCCTCACCCTTACGGCCCACCTGTTCCCGCATGCCTCCTCCCTACTCCCTCTCCCGACTGAACATGCCCCCTTCCCTACCTCATCCTCCTCCCTCCCCAATGCTCCTCCCATATCCTTCTACGTCTCCCTTGTCCATCCATCCCTCCCTCGTCCTCCTGCCTGCATCTCCCTCCTCCTCACCCCTCGCTTATCCCTCCTTTTCCCCTTCACCCTCCATGCTCCTTCCATTCCTCCACCCCTGTGTCTCCTCAGCCTCCCCCTCACGGACTGGGATCGAATGCTGAGAGGCGCACGTACAATCCAGCCAAACGCACATGGATGAATTGAACGAGATGCCTACGATAACCAATGAATAAAACGTAAGGGCAAGATACTTTCCGAAATCCCAACACACCGGCCACAAATTCCCCTCCCGCTTGCCTGCTTTACCCTTCCGCCAACTTTACCCTTCTTTTATCAATAAGACACTGTGACCTTTGCAAGGCGTAGTCCCAGCCCATGATGGTGCCGCGCTTGCCGTTGAGATCCGCTCTGGACTTGAGCTCCTGCGCAAACAACTGCTCACTGCAAAAAATGAATTGAACAAACAATCACAGCAAGCACGCTGAGGGCGCAAAGCGTGCACCAACCACCAGCCCAGCCCAGCCCCGCTCTGGGATCGGGGAGGTCCCTCGAGGCCTCCCGAGGCCCCTGGAGCCCCCCAGGTACGACCACCCCCCGAGACCTCCGGAGGGCCGGGACGCTCTCGAGGCCTCAGGGCGACCCGGAAAGGGCAGACTACACTGCAGAAAACAGCGGCCCTCGATGATCGACCCGCCTCCTCGGTAGTCACCTCCTTCTTCCCCTCCGTCTGCCTCTCCTCCAGACCTCCGACCTCGTGTAGTTGTTGTTCCAATGCGCGGCTCCAGATCTCTCGGAACCATGCTTGTCCCGGGTCGTGCTTGATTGCCCCCATAACCCATAGCCCCCAAACTCTCACTTGATGCAGAAACCTGCGAAACACCTCCGCCTTGACATTGAAGGGAGCCTCCTCCAGATAATTGGCCCCTGGTCCTGTGTCGAAGTGTCTTCGTGCTAGAATTTCGAAGAAAACCCAGCCATGGCGACGAAAAGCCGACCGGAAGCCCCAGAAGGCACAAAGTCTCAGCGTGACAAATCTGAGCCCTCCTCCTCTCCCTTCCCCAATCGACCTCTGGAGACCTCCTGGAGTGCGCTCTGGCCCCGCATTGAAAAGGAGCTGCCGTCCATGCTTCTAGCTGAAGGACGGTGACGAGGTAGCATACAGTCCCAAGAATGTCCAGCGAGAACCCCGCTTTGAAAAAGAGCCGCCCTCAATCCGTGAGATTCCACGAAAATTCAAGCGTACGCCTACAAGCTCGGAAGGACTTAGCTACAAAAAGCGTCGAGCATCTGTGTGACGGCTGCTGACTCATGACGAACGCATAGTCAAAATGGTTATGAATTTTGAATAAGAACTAGTGGTTGCATACAACTGTTGAAACTAATCGATACCGTTACACGGCACTAATGCGAGATAAACGTTCTGAAAACGAATTCGATCCATCCATGTCACTGTTGGAATGATGTTGAACGCATGTGCGCGGCAATGAGGCGAGCGAACACCACATGTCGAAAACGGACCGTGCTGTATCCGTGTAACGGCTCGCTTCAAGATAAAAAGCGCGAAGCGCCAAAGCGAGAATCACGCTTGATCAAGAAACCTCATTCGTCCCTTTCACTGCTGAAAGCGCTCGAGATGCATGCGTGCGGCACCACGGCGACACACACCCCCTTTGAAAACGACATGTGCTTCCTCCGGGCCAAAAGTTGGGCGCCCGAGTTATCCGGGGTAACTCGGGTCCGTGGTAACTCGGGTCTGGACTCCCGAAACAGGAACCCGAAGTATCCCTGACCCGAGCTACCCCTGATGATTCGGGGCTCTGAAAGTGCGCAGGCCAATCACCTCGACGCCCGCGCAGCGGACGACCCCCGGGAACGTCCCCTCGAGGATCGCGAGGCCGCGACCCGAGCACGAGCACCCGCCGGGCTGCACACGACGTGGAGCGGGCTGCACACGACGTGGAGCACCCGCCGGGCTGCACACGACGTGGGCGGCTGCCCACGGCGAGCTCGACGCGCTGCAAACCCCGCGCTCCCTCCGTGCGGCGGCCGCCAACGCGCAAGGCCAGGCGCCCGCGCGCGCTGCGCGGGCCTCTCCTGGCCACGGCGAGCCTCGGCCCCGCCCCTCCGCGCAGCAGAACTCCCCGGCGCAGCTCGGAGGACCGGCCCGAAGACCAGAGCTCGTCCTCCTCCTCCTCCTCCTCCTCCTCCTCCTCGTCGTCGTTGTCCTCCTCCTCCTCGTCGTCGTCCTCCTCCTCCTCCTCCTCCTCGTCGTCGTCCTCCTCCTCCTACTCCTCTCCCCCTCCCCTCGTCCTCCTCCTCCTCCTCCTCGTCGTCGTCCTCCTCCTCGTCGTCGTCCTCCTCCTCCTCCTCCTCTCTCGTCGTCGTCCTCCTCCTCCTCGTCGTCCTCTCCTCCTCCTCCTCCTCCTCCTCCTCCTCCTCCTCCTCCTCCCTCCCTCTCCTCCTCCTCCTCCTCGTCCTCCTCCTCCTCCTCCTCCTCCTCGTCCTCCTCCTCCTCCTCCTCCTCCTCCTCCTACCTCCCTCCCTCCAGCCCATTTGCCCAGGTCCGCGGCACTAGGGCCTTTTCGCCCCCTCCCGCTGTCGCCCCCGACTCGCCCTGAGGATCGGGGGGGGATTCCCGACACACTCATTCACACCTTTTCCGATACTATTACATGAATCCTTGATTGATGTGGAACGCCCTTTTGAACCTTGTACTGTACAACCCCCTGCACCTCCTGGAGGCATGGAGGGCAGAGGACATATCGGAGTGCCTCTCGCTCGTTGATATCATTGTGTGTCCTGGCACGAAGAAAACTTCAACAACCAGTTACTACGTCCAACACGAGGAACCACTTGGTCTTCGAGTTCGGGTGGGAGAAGGGCAGGCGTATCAATAAATCATCTGGCTGCGCCATTTTCGTCAGAAAGAGATCCATTCGTCGCACGCATGTGGTTGATCTAAAATACCCACCGCAGAACTTGGCAGGAAGAGGAGGCTTACTCAGAGTTCGTTCTGGAGCCTTCGGCATTACGACTATTGCTGCTTACTTCCCGCCAGCGAATAACCTGAAAGCAGATCACTGGAGGCAGACTTGCCGACAACTAACATCTTGGCTACACAAGTCAATCCAGGAGGCCAAGAGGAGATCGCTGGTCGTCGTGGCCCTAGATGGCAGCTGTCAATTTGGGTTACGCCGAGTCGGACAAGGGCTACCGACGCCTACCAACGACAACAGGCATGTTGGGCCCTGGGCGAACTCTATCGAGAACGAAACCTCCATTGAATTGTGGGGTATTCTTGAGATGGAACATATGGCAGTGGCGACAACTTTTTTCCTGTTGGACCCACGTATTTTGGTGCCGAACATTCCAGCGCCCCAGATCATATCCTAATCCCAGCGGATGCAGTGGCGGCTACGCTGAACTGCAGAACCCTTCGCAAGGCCATGAAGGATCTTCAGATCATCCCCGACTGGCGCCGACGTGATCACGCACCAGTTCTTTGGCAGGCTCATTATCAACTGCAGGCCCCACCATCGGCGCCCGCGGCAGCACGTTGGGATCGGGACTATCTCTCGCGCGTGATGCAGCTGGGTAGGGGAGGCGGCGCTGAGATCCTGGGAGAGCTCGAGAGACTGTGCGAGGATTCTAGAGGCACCTGGGAAAGAGATACCACTAGGCTGGACCCGTCCACGGCTTGGGAATCTTTGGTCCAGGACATTCGCTCTGCCGCTCTCCCAAAGGCCACGCTTCAACAGAGGGCAGGTACTCCGCTCACGCATCTCCTTCAGCAGAGGGAAGCGGCCCTGGCCAAGAGGAAGCACGCTCGCAAAACCTGCTACGCCGAGGACGATCGACTCGTGCTCCGACAGATTGAGAAGGACCTCGAGGCGCTCAAGAGGAAGCTAGACCTCGAGCGGATTGAGGGGCTCATGCAGGAAGCTCGTATGCAACATGAACGCGGAAACGCCACGAACCTGTGGCGCACGATCTATGCTGTGGGTTCCAGATGTCGAGGTTCCAGACAGCGGTGTTTCAACGTGCCTGACTGCTACCTGCCGAGCCTCCAGGAGTGGGAGCACACAATGGTGGCGACGGCGAGAGAGGGCGGCTTCAGTGCCAAAGTGCTTCAAGAGCCCGCAGGGGCCGCAGCAGAGGAGCTGCGGAGGCTGGAGGATGAGGGCCTCGACTACTACGCGGGCGCGCCTGCTTCATTGGCACGTGACGATTGGTTTCGCACACTCGATCAGCTTCGCCGAGCTGCTCGACGTAGGTATGCGCCTGATCACTCGGTACAAGCGGAACTCTGGTACTGGCTCATGCTGCAAGCCGCGCGTGACTTCACGGGGGCGTGGCCGCACGCGGAGCATTTAGGTGGGCGTGCGCTCGAGGCTGTGCATTCCCGTCGGCACGTTGAGCGCCCCTGTTTCACGCAGCGCCTTCGCCGACTATTTCGCCAGATCCGAAGCAAGAGTCGCAGGCCCCACCAGTGGCACTGGAGTCGGAGGTTTCAGCTGTCGAAGGGGAACGGGCGGAATAACACGAAAGCCATGATATTGATTCATTGCTATTGCCCGTTTGCGAAGGCCTGCTGGTTTCGTGGCATGTATATCAGGCACCGTAGACCCCCCCCCCCCCCCCCACACACACACCCACCCCACACCGCATGCGCATGGGTACGCGGCGCATCGCACAGGACAGAAAGCACAACTAGTGGCAAAAGTGCATAGCTGGAGGTTGAAGAAGTTAGGCATCTCTCACCTGCTTGTCAAGAAAGACATGTCGAATGCGCCCCCCTCGACCTCGCACGTTGCATTGCAGGAGACGGCGATGGGCGTTATACCTCAACCGCAGGATAGGGCGCTGCTGCATCAGCGTCACACAGAGACGGTGGTGGAGATACGGGCGGGGGAGCAAGTTGATTACTTTCAGCCTACACATGGTTCTGGGACCTATTTGTGCGCAGTTTCTTGAGGCCTATCGAGTCGTGGAGAGATCAGCTCTACCAAGACGTCACACTGCGTCAAGATGAGCGCCTGTTGGCGCCAGTTCCTCTTCTTCGAGCCTCGAGCCTGATGACCTGTGCCTTGACGGGAGAGATGCATGACGTTGCTATCAGAGACTGCGCTGACGACATACATCAGACGATACCTCTCACGTGCCCGAACCCGCTGTAGGCCAGGTCTCGCGTGCTCGCCTCGAACGCTATCCTAGATCTAGAACTTCAGGAACAGGGTGGGTTCGCGCAGAACCACGATAAAGAGGTCTGTATGCCTGTCATGGTGGGTCCTGGGGCCTACTCGGCCACTCGTTCCCTGCTCTCTCAAGGGGTTCTTATGCCTGGGGTGGTCTCGGCTGAATCAGTTCACCTGGGGGGAATGGAGCAACTTGCTGGGGGATGATGAGCTGAGATCAGGAGGGG